TGTGGTGATTAGTGACCGTTAATCGATAATTAATCAGAAATCGTGAAATGCGTGATGTAGTTTCAGAAAAACATTTTCTTTATCGTGCCAACGTTTCGATCTTTATTGAGATCATCATCAGAGCTCAAAGTGTTTGTCTTCTGTGTAATTGTGCCATTCTTGCGTGTCGTGTGGAGAGTGCACGATTTCTGAATAATTAATAATATACGAATTTAAACTAATTAAAATTTTAAAGAATTGAGTGTAAAACAGGCTTTCTTTGAGCAGATATTTCCCCTTTTAACGTCCGGATATAACACCAAGTGCCTCAATTAACAGTAATAATTAACAATTAACTCCTGATGAAGATGTGGGTTAATGAAAGAATTCTTCCAAACCTTCGTTTGGGGAATCCGACCATGGGAATCTTTCCATAGTTAAAAACTGAAATGTACAATACGTGGACGTAATTGGTGGGAAAGTTAGAAAATATTGTACCGCCGGATGAATGTGCCTAGTGGATTTCTAGTCTGCGGTGCTCCATTTCCTGTATATTGTACTACTTTACAAGAAAAGGATGTAATTTAATATTACTACGCTTAAATGTGCTTTGTAAGGTAATTTGAAGCAATATCAATTGATTGGTAGAGCATTGACAAGGAGACTTATCACTATAAAGATCCCAGAGTACTTCCAAATCGGCTTTTTTTCTTTCAAAAACACTGGAACCCAGAGCTTGATAAAATAAGAAAAAGAGATGTCAAGAATTTAAAAAGTTCAAGATTTGTTTAGGAACGCGTGTAAAACATAATGTTTCGGTTAGAAAGCTAAGTAAAATATGTTTATTTTTTTAAATTTTAAAGCTAAGGTGAAGATTCATAAATAACAAAAAATAAAAAATACTATTATTATAATATGGCCCAACGTCCCATAAAATAGCAGATTGTTGATAGCAATATTGATCAGCAGGAACGGTGTAATAACATCATATATAAAATATTCAAAATAAAAAATATTCCAAACAAAATAAGAAAATATATAACAAAGGCAGACCAAAACATTTGGGTAATAATTGACATGGCTAAAAATAAGGATGGTTCAACGGGAATATTATTTTCAAGTAAAAAAGGGAAAATAGAGAAAAAAAGAATAAGAAGACGAAAGCTAACAGACAAGAAAATCAAGTAAAACAAGTACCGTACGCTTACCGATTATTGTCCATTTAGTAAGGATGAGAGTGTTATAGTGTTGAGTGAAATTTGTCGTTTATACACTGAAAAGTAATGTACCTAGGATGCTCCCTTGATGAATACCAGACAGGAAACAACAATGGGCGAGGTTGAGGGTTCGGTTGGGTGAAGATCAAAAAGACAGGATTTTAGGATGAGATATCATATACTAGAAACGAAGGATTGGACTATCAGCTGTAATCTTTGGTAACAAAAAATACGATCGAGTGAAAAATATTGTAAACCAATTTTTTTAAAAAGTGTGTAGAGATTAGTGACCGTTAATCGATAGTTATTCAGATATCGTGAGATGCGGTCGGGTGTGATGTAGGTTTCAGAAAAACATTTTCTTTATCGTGCCAACGTTTCGATCTTTTATTGAGATCATCTTCAGGGCTCAAAGTGTTTGTCTTCTGTGTAATTGTGCCATCCTTGCGTGTCGTGTTGAGAGTGCCAAAAAAAAAATTAAAAAATAATAAAATGAAATATAATATTTTGTTTAGAAACCTTTTCAAGGATAGAACATTAAAGAATAAGACTAATCCACAATTTGATGTCAAAGATAGATAAGGATATTAATTAGAAAGTTAAATAAAACATTTTTAGGTAAAATCAATGTAAAACACGATTTTCAAAGTGAATATCCATGAATAAAAGTTTTTTGTTTGCATTCCGCATCATTACTTACATCAATTTTCCATAAATAATATGATTTAAAGGGAAAATAATCGAGGTTTAAAGGTAATGAGAGGGCGTCGATGACAACGGTTAAGATGTTCACACGGCGACTCATCATTGTGATTCCGGGTTCGACTCCAGCGGCCCTGAGATCGAACCCGGAATTCTTACAATTTTGTCTAGTTCTGTTTGTAGTCAGCTGAAGCTCTTTGCTTTTTGTTTCTATCTGCCTCTGAGTTTTTAATGTGTATTTTGTGCTTTATTTGCTTATATTGTACGTTAAGATTTTATTTTTTTGTGCCAGTTTACATGCTTTTTGACTAGTATGTAGTTTGCTTTTGTTTCTATCTGTATAGGAATTGTTCGTCTTCTTTGTTTATTTTGTATGTTAGGATTTAAGTTTTATTGCGATGTGCGAGTGTACAACTTTTTTGTCTAGTTCTGTCTCTCGTCTGCTAAAGAAGTTTGCTTTTTTTTATCTGCACAGAGGTTTTTCGTGATTTTTTCGTTCTTAGTATTTTGTATGTTAGGATCTAAGTTTTATTGCGATGTGCGAGTGTACAACTTTTTTGTCTATTTCCGTCTCTAGTCTGCTAAAGAAGTTTGCTTTTTTTTTATCTGCACAGAGGTTTTTCGTGATTTTTTCCTTCTTTGTATTTTGCATGTTAGGATTTAAGTTTTATTGCGATGTGCGAGTGTACAATTTTTTTTGTCCAGCTCTGTTTCTAGTCTGCTTAAGAAGTTTGCTTTTTTTTATCTGCACAGAGGTTTTTCGTGAAAGTATTTTGTCTACTTCTGTTTATATTCTGCTACAGATATTTGCATTTTGTTTCTTTCTGTATAGGATATGTTTTTTCAATTGCACAGGCACCCGGAGGCTTAATATAACCTCCTAGTTGAAATCGTTTTAAAAAAATATATTATTAAGTAGTAATGAGCAATCGTAGAAAATCAGTAAAATAACAGATAATTAATGATTATTTCTATATCAGCGAGTGAACTTCTGACATATAAATTTAAGTCATTTCAGATTTTCATTTAAAAAAGTAAGCCTTTGTTCTTAGTTGAAAAATTGTTGTTCTGAATCGATTTATTTGCTGCTCGATCGTCCCCTCGATTCTTGTCCGGTTAGTCTCGCCGATTTTTTTTTCCGACGTGTTATCTTTTTTTATAGCGCCATATTTTCCATTATAGTCTGTGATCAGAGGGCTATATTTTTTGAGAATCATCTCAACTTTAATGCACCATAATTACGACGGTGCCGTGCCAAGTGCAACAAAGGGAGCGTGTCTTACGGTACGGTACCTCACGGCTTTATCACAGAACAGTTAAACATACTTTTTCAACAAACATTGCTGATTTTTTTTTCTTTTATTAATTAAGTTTTGAATTAAGACGATTTTTTTATATTCTGTCCAACACGTTGACTATTCATTCATAATAATGCTAATAACGTGGCACTAAACTGCTATAACACATAATGATATTACTGCTTTGTACCATTAAAATTAATTCTTTCCATAGTCTTATGAAAATTCTGTGAGCAACTATCAATAAAATATCCACTTTTGAAACAAAAGCAATAATAATTAACAAGGCTGGGACTCCATGAGAGAAATAACAATCCAATTGGATTTGTCGGCGCGATTTGCGGTACAAAAGGAAAGATCAGTGTTGACTAGGCAGTTGGACATTATGTTCAAACATTAGGATTTATTGCACCGTTAAACAATGTGGCTCGAGTGGCAATTTAAGGCCCGTCATTAAAACATCCTTCCAGAGGGCATTGTCTTAACGGCGTTACGAAGGAATTAACGGTGGATTCGTAACTTTGAAAAATCATCGTCGGTCTAAGAAGCGGTTCATAAATTCACGTTCACAGTTTTCTGGTCAATCATTTAATGCGTGGATGAAGCGTAATGGACTTTCCAGGCCTACAGTTAGATAAACCGCTATGCAGATCGTTTTATAATTGACCATCGGATGGGGGCAAATGGACAGTCCCCAGCACGGACTTTCTCATCTGGCTTGACGATTCGTGAATCTCTTTGTCAAAACGTTTAAGAAGACAATATTTTTTGTTCATCATTTTATCATTTAAAAAAATTCAATCACGCGGTCCGTCCAAAAACGTTCCTTTGGTCGATACTTCTTTGATGTTTATCCCACATTTGTTTTAGTTGATTCGGCCTTACACTGACAATTAGAACGTTAAAGGTATTTGAGCTGAGCCTTAAAGTCGTTTTAATTGTTTTTATTATTCCAGCTCAAAATGACGATACAATTTTGTAATACATTTACATATATAATTTCTATATATTCAGGTTGTTTTATGTTTGCTTATTTTACTGTTTAAATCCAAAGCCAACACGAAAACAATCTGACTAGAACGGCATTTTTAATTAATTAAGCCCAAGGTGGATAGATAGATAGATATATAGATAAATAAAAAGAGAAAGAGAGAGAGAGAGAGAGAGAGAGAGAGAGAGAGAGAGATAGAGAGAGAGAGAGAGAGAGAGAGAGACTGCGCGAAGAGAAAAAGTGAGTGAGAGGAGGTAGAAACAGATAGAAAGACTAGAAAGGAGAGAGAGAGATGAATAGAGTGAGAGAGAGAGAGAGAGAGAGGGAGAGAGAAAGTGAGAGAGAGAGAGTGAGAGAGAGAAGGAGAGAAAGACTGCGCGAAGAGAAAGAGTGAGAGGAGGTAGAAATAGGTAGAAAGACTAGAAGGGAAAGAGAGAGAAATGGAGAGAGAGTGAGAGAGACGTTTCGTCGTTTCTCATCCTGGTTGTCCTACTCTAACAGTTATACCCACATATGTGGCGTGGTTGTGGGATTTCAGTTTAGTCTAGTTTTCATATTTGTGAAAGATGAAATAATTGTATCCGTATTACCTATCTTTAATAGATTAAGCCCGGTTTTAATGATGATGGTCGAAAGTCCAAACACACCTTGCAGATCACAATGAAACGAAAATGATCAAATTTTTTTCAGTATATTTACGAAAGCCTATCCTTTTGTTCAATGATTGCATATAATAATGAGCATGATCAGATCACCGTTATACTATTTGTGTTGATAATTTAGCTTATTATACGTTTTTGTTTGTTTTTTCAGATCATGTACTGCAGGCTGTTTCAAATTGCCCTAGTCGTTTCGTCGTTAGCAGCCTGTTTGGACCAGGTTTCCGGTAAGCGGATATATCTCGATTGAAACTTTCAACGAATTATCTATAATTGTTCTAAACCGGCTTGGAAGGGGGGTTGATCGTTCCTTCAGTTTTCTTTTATTTCCTTTCCTAACCTGTTGAAATCGACTGGTGGGGGCATGAAAAGTTTGCCTGTAACGGAAAACAATTTCACGCTGGTACCGAACAGAAAGCAATTGAAGTGATTTTTCCCTTTTTTCTGTAAAATCGTCAAAGCCGTGGGCGTTGTATTCGGGAAAAAGGAAATCCTCGTCGAGAGAGGTGTAGGAAGAAAGTGGGCCGAAATGTGCCAGCGGGTCACAGACGGAAACCTCATTTTTTTCAATTTGTTTTAATTAATTTTCGTCCCGAAAATCTCCTTTTGGTCTGTGAAAAACGCTAATAGATAGAAAATTTTGGACCTTTTTGCAGTATGGCTCGAATTTCTCGTTAAAAAGGTCGGATGAAGAAAGTAACAAAATTCTATTTAGCAACAATTACATACTTAAAATTCTTTTCAAGCTTAAAGCAGTTTTATCTTATCTTTTATCAAGATCAAAGACATTATCTGAACATAAAAACTAAAGGGAAATGACCGTTGGCACGTTTGCTGGATCCAAGGCACGTCGTAGCGATTATTATCGTACAACTCGATGTAATTGATACTGGCCACTGAATTGTAATAATTCATTATACCAACTTGACCATTTTCTATTACCCTCATAACACAGTCCAGTAGCACGTCACGAAGTTCTTCCTAAATTGAATTTTTCGTGTTGAGTAGGTAGATTTGTAAATGTGTCGGCAATTTCTGCAAGTCAGCAACGGAACCGTTCCAATTTTCCGACAGTTCCATGCTGTTTCCACGGTTTACCGTTTTGATTTTAACCAGCCGACGACTGCACTCGTGTCCCGGCACCCCGCAGGGCGTAGTTCTTCATCCAAGGGAGATAAACGGTAGGATAACCGAGAAAACGTCAACAACCTTCCGAGAAAATTATTAGTTTTTTTTTGCAAAACGCCGCCTTTTGAAGACAGTGTTGTTTATTGCCTTGGTGCGCGCCCCCGCTTCGACGACACATTCCAATCCTCGTAGAATTCCTTCTTCGGTTTGTTTTGCAAAGTAAAACTGAAAGCCCTTTAAAAGCGGCGTCGTCGGAGTTGAAGTAAGCGGTCTCTAAGGTCGTCCACCTTCAATACCTCTCACCTTTGCCATTCAGCACACATCCCTAGAAAAAATTAATACTTTTTTCAGACGTCACGATTGTTTCGGATTAGTAAACATTGTGTCGGTTTTTTTCTTAACGGGTCTCATCTTAACCCTGCCAAACCAGGTGAAAATGAAAGATTTTTTAATATTAAATTATAAAAGCATGGCAATAACCAAATTTTCCACTAACGTTAATGTCGTCAGTATCACCAATTTATTAGAAAGAAATTAGACCCGGTAAGGTGTGCATGACAATCCCAATTACACGAATCCAAAAGGACCTAAATGCCATTAGCTTCTGGGCCGATGAAAATGGAGCCTCGAAATATCAATAAATCCCAGTGTTTGGATCCCATCTCCTTATCCGATCCTTAAGTCTTGTTCCCAAGACGTGTGGGTTGGCGAATCTCGACCGGCTTCATTCATTCCATAATATTTTTTTTAATGAAGTCAGCTTGATTTAAACATAACGCTTGTGATTATTTGGAGATCGTGAGATGCAATACCAGGTGTCGTTGATTTTAGAAAAATATTTTTTTTATCGTGACAACGAGTCGATCATCTTCAGGGCTCAAAGTGTTTTTTTTTTCTGTATAGATGTGTCATTCTGGTCTGTCGTGTTGAGAATGCCCGGATGACAGTCCAGAAGATGATCTCAATAAAGATAGAAACCAATTAATCTTTATGTAAGGTATTGGTTGAGATAAAAAAGTCAGTGCCACGAGGGGATTCGAACCCACGACCTTCGGCTAAATACGCCGCTGCTCTACCACATGAGCCATCGCGACCTCGATCCACTCGGGCACCAACTTCCCATCTCAACCCAACCTTTCGAATTTTCCCTCCTTTCTGCCATTTTTCAAATGTCTTGTAATCTATTTGATTCTCGGCGACGAATGAAATGGCCTCGGAGAGCTTTAGTGAAGATATACTTTATTTAACTTATTAAATCCATTAGATTTCGTGGTCCGATTGACCAAATAATATCTTTCAATCAATCAATCTTTATGTAAGGTATTGGTTGAGACAAAAAAATGGCAGAAAGGTGTGAGATTCGAAAGGTTGGGTTGAGATGGGAAGTTGGTGTCCGAGTGGATCTGGGTCGCGAGGCTCTGGTGGCAGAGTAGCGGCGTATTTAGCCGAAGGTCGTGGGTTCGAATCCCCTCGTGGCACTAACTTTTTTTGTCTCAACCAATACCTTACATAAAGATTAATTGATTGAAAGATGTTATTTGGTCTATCGGACCACGAAATCTAATGGATTTAAAAAGACGGAAAGATCCTTATGTTGGCACGATAAACAAAATGTTTTTCTAAAACCTACGTTACACCGACCGCATCTCACGATCTCCAAATAATCATTAACTAACGGTCAGTAAACACCACACATCAACGTTAGTGTTCTATTATGATTTATAGATGTGGAAAAAGTAATTCAGTTCAGAATAAATCGGTACAACTGAAAAAAAACCACTACAGATAGTGTGAACGGATGCTCCAGGCTCCAGCCGTACTGAGGCATGCCATCCATCGAAAGGCCGAAGCACCTCAAGCAATAAGGAGTCTACGTTCTCACGGCGCGGCGTGCGATATGACGAACTTCAGATCAAGCTTCAAGCCACACGCCGTGGGAGCAAAGCTTTACCGCTCTGCATTAACAACCAACCGATATCCTATTATCCATTTATCAAAAACCTAGGGATGTGTTTGATCAAACGCTATCTTAGAAACCCACCATTTCCAAAATCTTCCATCGCTGCTTCTCCACCTTCCGTCGTGGAAGGCTCCTTGATTATGGCTGTTGTTCAACGGAGGACTCACCATCTGTTAACAGACTCAAGAGAATGATGAATTGATTTCTTCAGTTTATATTTCGGCCCCCAAAGAGATCTCGTGTATCTAGTACATTAGTATATATCGTGGTTTGAAATGGCTGTACCCTTCCTATGAACCAATATTCACTTTTTTCACCACAAAACAGCACAACAACGATAAATAATTACATTGGTTGTTGGTTGCAGAAATAGGATAAGATTCCGTTTTTCCGAACAACAATGTCCGTAACTAGTTTTTTAGCGAATAACGAGTTAAAATGTATTGGCTCATGAGAGGTTTTTCCCAAAAATGCTCCAATGAAATTATGGTGAGAACAACCCTGTATAGGCAACTGCTTATTTCAGTCCGACTTAGATGATCTCTACCACTGATTCCTAGAGAACAATCTATATCATCTATAAACAAATATTATTCCGTGAGCTTTCATCGGACTAAGATTGATCATAGTTTCACTTACTCTACACTTACTCTTAGAATCCTTGTTTATAAATCGGAGTTATTGTTACTAGTTCGACCGCGTGTGGCACGAGGGTTTCCTAAACAAACAAAGCGCGTCCTTTCAAAATACCTTATACTCAATCTTCGCCCCTACCTCACAAGACGATTCTTCCCAGTGCAGACTACCCCAACTACTGTCCTGTGGGAGCGGGATTGCCATAGGGTAGTGTGCTCGGACCAATTTGAACCTCCTCCATACCACACACATCCCAACACCCTACTCTCTTTCCATCCTTTGCAAACGACACAGCCGTGTTTACCTCCGATCCCGATCCTGCAATTGCCTTGTAGAAGCTCTAGGCACAGGCTAAAGAATAACTCAATGGAGAAAACAAATGCTCCTATGTTATATTTACCCTCCGTAGCAAAACCCCTCACACAGTGGGTGCTCGAATATTCCTATCCCTAAAACCAACTGCGTACGCTACCTTGGCTTCTTGGCGTTGACCCACGCTAAACCTGAAACCGAGATACAAATAAGAAAGAAACTGAACATACGCTTCAGACTTCTTTTGTAAACGACTTGCGCAAAACTCTAACATGACGACGAAAATCAAACTGACAGTCTGCAAAATACTACTCAAACCGTCTTGAACATTTGGACAAGAACTATGAGGCACCGCTTAACCTACTAATATCAACGCAATCAATCCTTACAACCCAAAGTCCTTAGAATCACTGTCTCTACTCTTCGTAATTAATACCCATCAAATTGTCTAAGTTTCACGAAAAACTACATTCACCCCAATCCACTAGCCCAATCCATGTCATCCATCCCTTTATCCCGTCGGACGACTAAAGCTGAGATGGCCTCGGGACATCTTCGCCAAGAAATAACCGATGGTAGAACAACAGTGATTGCTAACTCCTCTCAAGACGCAGTGTATTGTAATATGAACGATAAAGTTACAAAATGTATTATTTTATACAGATGGTAATAAATATTTTATTAGGAAAAAGTACTAACATTGACATTAGACAATTTGAACAGTAATTTAACTTATTTGCTCCATTAACATTTAAGCCTTCTATACACACTCGCTACACTCGTTCCCGCCCTTCTGATCTCTACCCAGCTCATAAAAATCCATCGCTCTTTCCTTATCCGTTCCACAGCCTCTAAAGTTCCATACCTCTCTTTATTAGCTGTGGCCCAAACCTTTCCGTTTTTAAGTCCTGTCTTTTTGACTATCCCTATAATTAAACTCTGAGGACGGTTAATTTTCTGTTAAAATTTTTCTTATTTAAGTTGGAACGTTTAATTTATTTTTATGCTAGTACATTTAAATCTTTATTTATACATTTATTTAGATAGGAACAGTGCCAAATTTTGTGCTTTTTTGTTATTAACGCGAGCCCAAAGCCCCAATATAAAATTTATTTTCTTTCTTTCTTCATTCTTGAACATTCCGAAAGCTGCAAGGTTGAGAATGTATTGTAATTGATCTAAACAAAACTG